AGAATGCGGAGAATGGAGAACGTGGATACTGTGGAAAGCACGGAGAGCACACGGAGAACGTGGAGAACGGGGAGAACGAACGCAGAGGATGCGGAGAACGTGGAGAATGTGGAGAACATGGAGAGCATGGAGAGCGTGGAGAACATGGAGAGCGCAGAGAACATTGAGAGTGTGGAGAAGGCGGAGAGCATGGAGAATGTGGAGAATGTGGAGAACATGGAGAGCGTGGGGAACGCAGAGAATGTGGGGAATGTGGAGAGCGTGGAGAACATGGAGAACAGGGAGAATGTGGAGAAAGTGGAGAATGAACGTGGAGAATGAACGTGGAGAACATGGAGAACGTGGAGAACACAGAGAGCACAGAGAGCGTGGAGAATATGGAGAAGGTGGAGAACGAACGTGGGCAATGTGGAGAATGTGGAAAGCGCAGAGTGCATGGAGAACATGGAGAATGTGGACAGCGCGGAGAASGTGGAGAATGTGGAGARYGTGGAGAGGACGTGGAGAACATGGACAACGTGGAGAATGAACGCAGAGAATGCGGAGAACACGAAAAACACAGCAGTTATGGGGCAGCTCTGGAGCAGCCCCAGGGTGGCTCCTGATGGCCCCAGGTGGCCCCAGATCAGCCCTTCCTGACCCCCCAGTTACGGGACAGGTCCAGATCACCCCAGGGTGGCTCCCAGTGGTCCCCGGGTGGCTCCTGATCATCCCAGGGTGGCTCCTGATCGCCCCATGCTCACCCCAAAGCAGCTTCTGATCGCCCTAGGGCAGCTCCAGATCAGCCCTTCCTGACCCCCCAGTCACGGGGCAGCTCCCAATTGCCCCAGGGTGGCTCCTGATCCTCCAAGTTGACTCTAGTGGTGACCCCAAAACTCCCAGGTGACCCCAGTTAAGTGACCCTGAAACTCTGAGGTGACCCCAATGGGTGGCCCCAAAACTCTGCTAAGACCCCGGTGGGTGACCCCAAAACCCCAGTGGGTGACCCTGGTGGTAACCCCAAAATTCCAAGGTGACCCCAACAGGTGACCCCAAAACTCAAAGGTGACCCC